GAACGCTCGAGTGAGAAGCTCTGCTCCCGGCAGACTAGCACACACATGAGAAGAACGCTCGAGTGAGAAGCTCTGCTCCCGGCAGACTAGCACACACATGAGAAGAAAGCTCGAGCGAGAAGCTCTGCTCCCGGCAGACTAGCACACACATGAGAAGAACGCTCGAGTGAGAAGCTCTGCTCCCGGTTACCTGCCCCTTTGAGTGCACACAGCCTCAGAGTGGTGCGCTCCTCTTCTCACTGGTTCCTACTTACAGCCTTACTTAGGCTGTACCTACATTCCCTAAGGTAAGATGGGAGCCATGGAGTCTATCTAAAAATACAGCAAGAAGTATAATGCATGTACACAAAAATAATTCTGCCTGTACTGTGACTGGGCACCAACATCCGGGCTCTCTAGGGATTGAGTCCCAACTTATGCTTCAGACCTTCTCCTGGTTCTTGCCACCCATGCTCTGACCCTATCGAGCTGTACCTGCAGCTCTTCCTGGTCACTGCAATCATCTGTCCTCAACAATTTGCTTGTACATTTTCCCACCTGTAATCTGATCCTATTTCAGCCTCATGGGGAAAATCTCAAATAGGTTTCTCTACCATAAAGCCTTCTCGACTCTGCTATCCCTAAGTCAGTTCACCATTTCCCCAGTATCCAGTCACACAACTCCACAGTAGTATTCTTCACCTTTAATTACGTATAACATACAGGTCTATCTCCTAAGCATAGTGAGGGGGAAACCAGCCTGACCTATTACCCTTGCTGGAAATGTTAGATTTGCCTGATGCTTGTCTCTTGGCTTTCTACACACCAGAACATCTTAGGACGGCTTACCAGCCTTTCATAAGGCATCTGTCTCTTGTAACAACAGCCCACCAATTAAACACCTTTAGGGGTTATAGAAATGAAAATAACACTATTATTTAGTAAAAAACTTGTTTTTCATTCATTCAGTAAATGTTTAGTACACCTTGCTAGCCATTCTTGTTCCTTTAAGCCATCTGGGTTCAATGTATCAACATTTACTGAGTACTTAGTCTATGCCAAACACCACATTAGGCGCTCTGCAGTTGCTGCTTCATTTGCCCTTCACAACACCCCCTGAGGCAGAAACCAGCATCCCTCCTTGAGAGGTGATAAAGCTAAGAATCAGACTGGATAACTAAAATGGCAACCATATATTTCTGGTAATTAACTGAACCATGATTGTCCTTCGGACTTCCAAGCCAGTGGTCTTGATAATCTCTCCCATCTCAGCAGACATTTCTTTCTTTGTTCTTTTGATTTTCCATCCTGCCTCTTTCTGTCCCTGAACTTGTTATCAATGCCCTTCTCAGGTCTCTCTATAGCACTCACAAGTACTGACTCGCATACCCATTACTCACATGGACGTCCTTTGAGTATAAACTAGTCTCCTGATCCATCTTGTCATTAGCATTTGACCTAATGTTTATTCCATGGTATATGTTAGATGTTGTTAAATGGATGAATAAACCATTTTAATTAGCCATAGACATTTAATAAATACCTATTTAATATCAAATATATCCAGGACTGAGTACTCTTTGGTTTAGCTTAGGTGCATGTCAGTCTCAGGGCACCCTTCCCTTGACTGTATTCCTGGTTTTACAAGCTCAGCAAGGAGGTCATGGGAGTTAATAGCTTTGCTATTCACACAGTGGCCCGTACAGATATGACAGACTTAGCCTTAACTCTTCCTCCTCTCTTCCAATAAGTTATCAGTTCTGCCCATTTGCCTCCACAGCTTTAATTCTGGCCTTTCCATTTCTACTAGACTACAGCTACTGCCTTGAAGCTGTTTTCCAGCCTCTTATCAGCTACAAAGCTAAATTAAATCCATCTGTATCTGAAAATACTAAATAAATAAATAAGAAGGCAGATCAGAACATGAAGTGTAGGGACATTTTAAGTATGTCATTTAAAGGACCAAATCCCTCACAGTATACCAAGCAAGCAGTTGGAATCAGACAGACTCAGATAAAAGAGGATCCAGACTTCTGGAGGAAAGTCTTTCTGGCATGGTTTCTGGAATAGGGGAATGAGGAAAGGTCATGAATTGAGTTACAAAGGAAGCACCAGTAACATGCAAGACAGTAGAGACATTAGGAATATCATTTTCTGACTGCAATGGAACAAAACTAGAAAGTATAACAAAACCAAAGAATATGATGTTCCCAGTATTTAAAACCTTTAAAATATGTTAAGTAGTATCAGTGTAATATGAATAGACACAATGAAATTATAGAACATGTTAAAATTGACAGTGGAGAATTACATATTGAGATGTGTGGGAGGTTCTAAAAGCATTTTAAAAATTCATCATACTAAATACTTCCTGATTTTAAAAAGTAAATGAAATGCCTGATTTCCAATCTACATATTCAACACAACCCTGATAAAAATTCCAATGATATTCTCCACAGAAGTAGAAAATAATATTAAAACTCATTTGAAAGCACAACGTATTCAGAAGAGTCAAGGCAATCCTGAACAAGTCACATGGTAGTCACAGTAACAGAAGCCCGAAGCCACATGGACTGAAGGCATGTAAAACTGTGGAACAGAATAGGAAGTCCAGATAGAAACCAACACAGCTAGCCATTGAGTTTTGACAAAGAGAAAAAACAGCACTGGAGAAAAGAAACCCCCATCTACAAATGGTTCTGGAGAATCTGGATAACCACATGTACTAGAAAAAAACTACTCCAAATTGCTGGTGGGGATGGGGAGACCTTAATGTAGGTTCTGAAACTGGAAAAAGTATAGAACATACTTTAAGATATAGGTATTGGCAAGTTCCCAGTTGCCAAGAAAACAAGGTCAACAATTAACAAATGGGATTTCGTGGAAAAAAAATCTGTGTAACAAAGGGAACAGTTGGGTAAAGAGAGAGCCCACAGACTATAGAAAATCAGGGCCACACATCTGAAATATTAATAAGTAGAATATACAAAGAACTAAAAAACTAACCAGTAACCTCCTCCTCCCCAAAAAAATAACTGATGAAAGGAATAGAGAATTCAGAAAGGAGGAAATAGAAATCATCAGTAACCATGAAAAACTGCTTAACCTCAGTAGTCACCTAGAAAGTCCAATTAAAATCACATCGACATCACATATTCAGACCCTAGTCTGAATGTCAGTCATTAAGAAAGTAACAGGGGTTGGCAAGATGGTCCAGAAGTAAAGACCCCTTGTTGCCAAACCTAACAAACTAAGTTTGATCCCTGAGACCCACAGTCTGAAGGACTGAGAGAACTGACTCCAAGTTGTTCCCTAACCCACACACATACCTGACACATACATGCAATAAACAGACAGACAGACAGACAGACAGACAGACAGACAGACAGATATAGATGATTGACAGATAGATGATAGATAAATGGTAGTTAGACGGTGATAAAGGATGATAAATAGATGATAGGTAGATAGACAGAAATAAAGATAGATAGATAGATAGATAGACAGATAGATAGACAGACAGATGCAACATAAACTCTGGTACAGATGTAGACAAAGGGAATCCTGATCTTTATCTGGCTGATGGGAATGTAACCTAGTTCAAATCTTATGGAAATCAGTATGCAGGTTCCTCAAAAAATTAAAAAATAGATCTATCATGTAGCCCAGCTATACATCTCCTAAGTAGTTATCCAGAAAACCCAAGTTAACATATCATGGAGACACTTGTACATCAATGTTTATGCAGCAGTATTCACACAACTAAGTTATGGAACGATCCTTGGTGTCCACAGAGAAATATTTTTTTAATCTGTAAAGAAGAATGAAATTATGTTGTCTTAAGGGAAATGGGTTCAACTGGACACAATCATGTCAAGCAAGTCTCAGAAACACGAATGTTACATGCTGTCTCATTTGTCATTCCTAGATTTTAAACAGTCACATAAGATCATGTGTGTGTAGATTAAATGAAGAAGTAAGATCATCTAAGAGAATAAACGAAGGGTCAAAAGGAGAATAGAAGGGACCTGGATGAGGGGTGGGAAGTAGGATGTTCAATATACAATAAATATCTGTAAGAGAAATTGAACTGCATTTTAAAATTATTAAAAAATAAAATAAATGCCTAAATTTTAGTATAAAAAAGAAAAAGTACACCAAAAGAAAGCACAGTAAAGAGAATACAGCTAAGAAGTTGGTATTAATGGGGAAGAAACTAGAATAAAAGCTTAAGTAATACATCAAAACCTTTCTTTAAAAATAAACAAAATACTAATGTCATCAATACAAAGGGAGAAAGTACATGCCTACACACACAAAACAGAGAAACAAATTATTAAGGGAAGACAAACTATGAAAGGATTGGTGAACTTTTAAAATTAAAACATCACTTTGCAGACTTCAGTGGAAACACATTTGGAGATCGAGACGAAGTGTACTTGCTAAGGAAGTGCACGAAGCCAGAACTGACCTCTCAGAAAGTGTAAACAGACTAGTTTCTACAGCACAGAGAACATCATTAAGAAATTATCCCACAAAAGACTTGATCCAGATGGTTTATCAAACCTTCCAAGCCACACAGTTTCAATGTTCCATAAATTATTCTTGAACACAGAAAAGGAAGGAAAAACTCTCAATTACTTTTATGAAATAAGTCTAACTTCAAAATCTAAATCAAGTAAAGAAACACAAAGAAAAAGTACAGGTCACTATATCTCATGAATATCAATAAAAAATTCTAAGCAACTGTTACTACAGCTGCCACTATATTAAAAAACAATACAACACGAGCAAGAGAAAATTATTTCAACACTGTAATGTTGATTCAGTATTTGGAAACCTATTTATATCACACTATACATTAGTAACTCTAAGAAAAAAATTATCTCCATAAATCATAGTAAGCCTTTGACAAAATTTAAAGCCTATTCATAATAAATAAAAAATACTGAAGAAAATAAAAAGAGATACTTTTTCATACTCTAAATATACAGTCTTAGTCCTAAAACTAGTACTTCATTTCATGGTGAAACAACAGAGGCATTTCTCCTAAGAAGAAGAACAAGGTAAGGTATCCATTATCTCTACACCATCCGCCCCGCACTAGAGGCATTAGTCAGTGTAACTGGACAAAAAGACTATGGTAGACATAAGAATGAATAGAAGGGAAATAAGATTATCCCTGGTTGCAAATGGGATATGCCAGCTGGGGATGGTGGTACATACCTCTAATCTCAGCACTTGGGAGGTAGAGGCAGGCAGATTTCTGTGAGTTCAAGGTCAGCCTTGTATGCACTTTGAGTTCCAGGCCAGCTAGAGATACACAGTGAGATTCTGTCTTAAAAACAAAAACAAAAACAAAAAACCCCACAAATAACATATACCTGGAAAATATGTGAAAATTGTGAGAATCAGTGATGGAGGTAACTACATTAGTTAGTCACTTAGTGAATTGGTCAGTAAGTCAATAGGATCTAAAATTAACATGAAAAAAGAATAGGCGCGAGGAAGAGAAGCCCACAGATAGATTCCAGCTAGACATGTCCAAAATAAATAGATCTGTGGAGACACTGCAGACTAGTGCTTGTGGAGGGCTAAGGTCAGTGGTTTAGTAGAGGCAATGGTGAGGTGCCATGATGCCTGTGAAGGGTTACAGAGTTTCTCTGTGATGTTACAGTTATGCAAAAATGGATGCTAAGGATGGTTCCACAACTCTGTGGACTTGTAAGCACCATTAATTTGTGTACCATAACTGGGTGAACTGGATACACTGTTAATGAAATCTCATTAAAATAAGCTGCATTGAAAAGTATAAGGTAGAAGGCTGGGTCCTCAAAAGATGAGCATTTTGAGATGACTGCAATATCCTAACCTTGGCTGTGAAGTATGAAGTATGCAATTTTGCGAGCCTCTCCAAAACACACATAAACTAGTTCTTGCTAAAGATTTTAAGTGGTAGGCATCACATATATTTCTAGTGCATTACGTAGTAAGGAACTCCACTTACAATAGGAAAGATTAAATACCAGGGAATAAAGCTGCCGAGATTTATGCAAAATCTATGGTGAACAGTTTGTTTTAAGACAGTGTTTCTGTGCTGTCCTGGCTGTCCTGGAACTTGCTCTGTAGACCAGGCTAGCCTCAAACTCATGGATCTGTCTGACACTGCCTCCTTAGTGTTGGGATTAAAGCATGGGCCACCACATGAATACATTTTTAAAAAAAAAAAAAATTAAAAGATTCAAAGGTATATTGAACAAATAGAACATCTTCAGATCTTCTGTGTTTTAATAGGATGCTTCAACATCTTTTAAGATATGACATATATATGGTAATAAGCAATTTATTTTCTATTTTATTGTATGTGTGTTTTGCTTGTGCACCTCTTAGATGCCTAATGCCCGAGGAGGCCAGAACAGGGCATCAGATCTCCTGGAAATGGAATTACAATCAGTAATAAGCGTGTGCTGAGGATCAAACCTACCTCATTTGGAAGAATAACCAGTGCTCTTACCCCACTGAGCCATCTCTCTAGCTCTTTTAAATTAGCAATTTCAATAAATGTCAGTGAAAATAACCAACAAGTGCGCCAAACTCCCATTTCTCTGAGGGACTGAAGTAGCTACATCCAAGAACTTCTCTCAGGTCTCTGGGTTGTCTTAAATGTCCTGCAGTCCTTTTGGAGGCCACCCCACTAAGTGAGTTAAAGGGATTCTCCTAAGCTTATGGCTCCAACACAGACTGGCAGGAGAGAGGAGCCTGGCTCCCTACTGACTGGAGTGCTGACAGGGAAGGCTGAGAGGAAAATGACACCAAGGCTGACAAGAAGGCTGACAGAAAGACTGGCAGACTGAGACAAAGACCAACAGGAAGACTGACACAAAGGTTGACACGAAGGCTGACACCAGGCCTGGCTGACGGGAGCCGCGCGCACAAGATGGCGCCGGAGCTGCCCAGTCAGCAGCAGGCTGACTGGATGATCCCTCCCGCTGCCGCGCCACCTGCTCGCGCCGCTTGCTCCTGGCCCCTGGGCGCTCTCGACCTCCGCTGGAAAGAGGCTGAATCCGGGGTGTCGGTGACCCCGGCCTGGGAGCCGGTGGGCCGCTCTCCTCCCGGGAGCCCGGGCTCCTCCGCTGCTTGCTTTAGGGAGCCGTGAGCCCCGAGCCCTGGGCCTCGACGGCCGAAACCGCGGAGGCCCCTCAACTGCCACACGCCATGGCGGTGCGAGGCGAAGCGGGTCACATAGATCAAGCGAGGTCCATCTGGCCTTTGCCGGCTGCAGGTGGGCGCCATCTCAGCCTCCTGTCAGGCGACCCGCCGGACTCGGGCCCGCCTGAGCACAGGACTCCGGTGTGTGTGACTGTGTGTGTGTGAGTGGGTGTGCAGGGGTGGGGTGAGGGTGGGGGAGACGTGCCGCATGCGGGTGGGGAGGGGAGAACAGTTGGGGGCCTGACCAATGTGAGGCGTGGACGGGGCTGTCCTAGAGGCCCCAACTTCAGTGAAGACAGACCTTGGGGTCCGGGTGGGTGAGCTGGAGTCCAGAACACCCGGAGCCTGGGTTCTGGGTGGGAAGTTGAGGTGTGGATGGATCACTGCGTAGCTGGGCTTGAAGGAAGGGATTAAGGACACAGGAGTCAGGCAGCTTGCAGAAGACAGGAGCCTGGTGGGGACTTTGTTAGAAGTCACAGAAAACCCCAGCGAAAGGGAAACAGGAAGGCCTTTGGTTGTGAGGATGGCCATTCATCTAGAAAGAGGTTGAATTTCAGGCCACATCATTTGGGACTGGGATGTAAGAAATATCAAATATGGTTCTTTTCTATCAAATTCTGTAAAATGTGTGTTTAGGACAAGGAATTAAAATATTTTTATCTCCTCTCTTCCGTCTTGTAAGACTTTTATGCAAAATGTTTTAACCCTCTCCATCCAGTAAAACTTTGGTTACGTAAAGGCCTCTGCTTTATTCTAAGAATGTGATGACCTGGGGTAGTGATCTTCTTGTCCTTGGAGCACTGACCTCTTCCTCCATCCCTCTGTTTTTAATTTTTGTTTTGTTGAGTCATGGTTTCTCTATGTTGTAACTTTATTTTTTTAACCTTATTTTTAATGATGATTCTTAAATACTTTAGCCTCCTTTCTAGCCCACCACCCACCAGGTAGTAGAAAAGAAAGGATATGGGGAAGTGGACCTGTTTAGACATGGTTCTTTGGAGCACACCCTATCTGAGTTCATAGGTAATCAGCAGCAGCTCAATCCACTCCCAAACACTTTGTGGATACACTAGCAGTTCAGTTTGGTAGAGTTTGGTTAACAGCAGTGGTGGCACTATCTAGAAGAGACAGCCAGGCCTCAGCCTAGACTTGAGTCATCAGGAGGGTCTCTCGAGTCCTTTCTATACACCCTCCAAACATCGCGTGTCCTCCACAGGCCTTGCCTTAGCATGTGTGTTTGTTTCAGCTGACTTCACTCTGCCAGTCAGCCAGATCCAAGGAAGCAGCAAGAAACCTTGGCACACCACCAGAAGTTTTTGGTGTGTTTCTCTCTATGGAGTCCTGACAAATGTAGCTCAACTACACAGTATAAGGCAGGCCAATATATGTGTGTGTTGTTAGCAAAGAGTCCTTCATCACGTGTCCTTTCATGTGCTTGCTTTAGTAGAACATCCTTTCATTTGTGTCTGCTTCAGTGGAACATTCCTTCACCACTCTGCCTTGGTCTTTCACCTGTGTCTGCTTCGACGAAACATTCCTTCATGTGTTTACCCCAGCAAAGCACCATTCAACACAACTGACTTTTCAAAGATCTTTTAGTTTCCACTTCACTGTATAGTCCTGGAACTCACTCTGTAGACCAGACTGGCCTAGAACTCAGAGATCCACCTGCCTCTGCCTTCTGAGTGCTGGCTTATAAACCAATTCTTTTCAGACTAGCTAATTGAATAAGATTGTGATGTCAGACCCCCAGCTATCTTAGGGTTTTGTGCTGTGATAAAAATAAAAAAAAATTGGCTTACATTTCCAGATCACAATTCATCATTGGAGGAAATCAGGACAGAAACTCAAGGACAGTTGGACCCTGGAGGCACAGAGGGTGCTGTTTACTGCCTTGCTTTCCCCTGGCTTGCTCAGCCTGTCTTCTTATAGAATCCAGGACTACCAGCCCAGGGCTGGACCTTCTCCCATTGACCACTAATTGAGAAAATGCCATACAGCTGGATCTCATGGGGGCACTTCTCAACTGATGCTCCTTTCTCTGTGATGACTTTAGCTTGTGTGGAGTTGACACACAGAATCAGCCAGTACACCAGCCAATGGGGAAGAGACGTAGCTACCACTTGACTTAGAACAAAAACCAAATGTACTTCCTACCTCAGTGTGTTTGCTCTTCCTAGTGCACCTTCTTGATCAAGAGTGAAGTTTTCCTTGTCCAGACACTTCAGTTGGAGTGGTTATCTCTTTCTTGCTACCCTAAACATATCTCTAACAAGGAGCAAACAATGAAGGGGAAACTGCCCCTGAGGAATTGAGCTAAATCAAGGAGAAGATGAGAGAGTGAAAACAGGTCAGCCTCATGGTTGGTTGTGTGGAGAATTTCAATGTGAGGACCTGACCCTGGATCAGTCTGTTAGTAAGATAAAGTTGGAAGGCTTGGGGAAGAAGATGAGAACCCTTGCTTTCAAAGGCAGCCCTAGTCCCGGAGACAGACCCTATGAAGAGAACATAGACCTTACAGTTGAAGTTGGACCTGCTCTAGCTGCTGGCCAACTAGGCTTTCTCCAGCAAACCATTTTCCTTCCCTGAGCTTCTGCCATGCAGCTATTTCCTACAAACTAAACCTTCCCTTCATGGAGGTAGACTCTGTAAGGCTCAGGAAGTAATAAAAGAAACCTCCAAGTCTCTAGAAGTAAAAAACAAAACAAAACAAAAAAAACCTTAAGCTCCTGAAAGTCCAAGACTCCTACAGCATTTCCGCAATGTTACATAAGCAGTTAGCAATTCTGGGGAGAGGAGGCTGTCCACCAGCAGCTTGCCAGCAAATTGGACAGGGAGTTTGAAAGACGACGCTTTCTTGAGTCAATGCTCATTCAGGGGTGTACTTTCCTATCATTCATCCATTTCTAAGCCATTGATATTCATTCACATAAGTAACTTTTCATCCATATATCTGTAAGCAAGCACATTGGTTCATTAAGCTAGACTTGAATCCCTTTCCCCCCGTGTAGGTGCCTATCTGGAATGAACCAATGTTTCTTTACATCTCTTAGTAAAAGTTATGTAACACTACCCTTTTCCTTGGATGTAAGACTAGATCACAATCGGGCATACTGAGTATACGACACGTAAGAAGAGGCAGTTCCTTTAGAATGGAATGCTATTTTCCATTATTGAGCTTATATCCTGTGAGGTGCATCCTATAATTTATTCACAGTTAAAATGTACAGACACTTTACTTTGCTGCTTTATGGCAAGAAAACTAGGATTGCAAACTATGAAGGGGAATCCCCCAAATAATAAAAAGTATGCTTTCCAAGTCACCCTGTGTTATTGTATTCTAAATATATGCAGAACGGTGTATAGGACACAAATAGAAAGCTGGATGTGTTTTCAAACACTTGGCAGACCCTTGTAATTAGTACCTATTCAGACTAATCAATGGAACAGTGAGAAAGTATGTCATTTCTTCTCCCTCTCATCTCCCAATTGCAAGCGTTGTTGGTTATGGTCGTCCTTTATGTTTGAGTGTTTCCTTCAAACTGTGTCTGTGAAATAGCCATTGCATGATTTCGTCATTCATCCATTCCACTAGTGATGGATATCTTTCTGATTCTGGACTACTATTAAACATGTATAGAAAAAAATACAGTGCGGAAATACTTAGAATAGTCATATGTTCAGCTTTAATAGCTACCAATGAGCAGGTATCCAAAAGTGGTTGTATCAACAAGCTCTCCGACCTACAAATTATAGCTTTGCTTCTTAAGGTTCCTACAACGGGGAAATGTCATCATCTGACAGATGTTCATATTGGATTTACCCAGAGACACATACTTAACAGGGTGTGTGTGTGTGTGTGTGTGTGAGAGAGAGAGAGAGAGAGAGAGAGAGAGAGAGAGAGAGAGAGG